CCTGGGCTCCCCACATGAAAGCAGGGGAGCAGACCCCACATTGAGTGCTCACATGGAACAGCTAGGGGAGGGATCCCACTGCTGCACTCCTTCTCGATTTGCCCCGGTGAGCTGCTCTTCCTCCTTGACTACATACACGTACAAGGACGGGAGCTAAAGAATCCCAATCTTACTAGTTCTCCCTATGGGAAAGGCTTGATTGTGATAAACTTCCCCCACTTCACACCAGGAAAATCAAAATGACGGCATTTCATTTTCAAATCCTCATTTTGTCCTCCAGTGCTTTCTATGGAGGGAGCCCGGGCTGCTCTCCAACCCAGCCAGTGAGTTCCAGCTTGGATGTTGGTGAATGATGAACACCTAGAACCGTGCATCTGCAGCTGTTGAGGCCATCTCCAGGTTTAGCCCTGACTGAGGATGAACGTGAATGTGTGGCTGTTCACCATGGTTGCCTCACAGCTCCAGGGTTCTGTTTAACTCAAGCAGTTTAAAAAGACCTGGCAGGCAGCAAGGCTAAGCAGCTGCCTGGAAAGGGTTAAGTGATCTAGCTTATCACATGGCTGGGAGCAGCAAGCAAACCAGGCTTGTGGCAGGAGGTTGGATGGGGCATACAGGTCTAGCTCCAGCCAGAGCTCACTTCCCTGAGCTCCTGACTTCCAGCTCTGCACAGAAGCACAGACTCACCCTCCATGCCTGGGCCTCCTCCAGGGCTGCAGTCAGGGCCTCGTTGGGGTTTTCAATCACCCGGCCTGTACACCCTGAGAAGTCCATGGCCACAAGGGTGTTATCGGACACGCTCCTCTATGGGACAGAAACAACAGCTGCATGGAGAAGCCCAGGTGATTGGGTGCCAAGGGGGAGCAGTATGCAGGAGGAAGGGGGCTTAGGGCCAAAGGTGTGGGTCTGCAGCTCTGTAGGTCACTGTTTTGCAAGCAGCTTAGAGAGGTGGCTGTTTAAGCCAGTACTAAGTCATACTCTGTAGGGAAGTGCTGCATCAGGCTGGCACCCAGTGTTGAGCTGGATCTGATCAGGGCAGCCTCGAGCTCCCTCAGGAAGTCCCACCATAGCCCCAGGTCCCTGGCTGTGCTAAAGGGCATGTCTCCTGACCAGCTAGCTGTGTTGGCTTCTTCTTTCTGCTCCGCAAAACTGCCTTCTGGTTTCTCAGTCCCAGCCAGATGCTACCCTGGGTTGATGCTGTCCGGTGAATCCAGGGGACAGATTTCCAAAGAGCTCAGGACCCGCTATCCTGAGCCCCAGCTGGAAGAGCAGCCCTCCTAAAAGCAGGGAATGGACTGGGTCCTTTAAGCTGACACCATTTTAGCCCAGCTTGAGATGGGGCCTATCCTGCTCCTTCCGCCTTCACTGCTTTGAGATTCACTGGTCTCAGGCTGGGCCAGAAGGGCCACCCCCAACATGGTGATGCTATTAGGTGGCCCGTACAGAGAGAACTTGATGTGCATTCCTCTGTACCCCCTTTAAGGGTCTATCTGGTGCTGAAGAGGCTGTGAGGTATTCTGGGTCTGGAAGCAACTTGCCTTGGGCAGAACCAGAGAGCTTCCTGTCCTGTGCTCTGGCTCTGTATAATTATGGAAGGGCAGGGGTGGAGGTCTGTGGCCATCCTTGCTTTGGTTCTGCTTGTACAAGCATGGAAGACATCCTGCTGGGGAGTGGGTACTAGGGGCTCCCACTGGTTGGAAATGTGTTGGGTTAGCTTGGATGAAGTTCTGGTCAAAGACTTTCCATTGACAGTGGGGTTGGGAAACGGGTGTTTCCAATAAATGAATTTTTTTCATGAAAAGTGTCTCCTTATACCTGGGAATTTGTGAAAACCTGACTGCTCCATGGCAAAGTATTTCTATTTAGAAATACTGCCCTGTGCGAGTTGTAGTACACTTGTCCATTCTCCCTAGGGACTGGGCTCCCAAGGGCACACCAAGGCCAGATGTGGAAGGAAGAAGGAAAACCTTTTGTGTTTTGCTTGGCTCTGCCTGGGAGGCTTTCATAGTGCCTCTAGGCACTCACATGTTGTGCCCAATGTTAACACTGGTGTTGATAGTGCTACAGCAGTGGTTCTCAACTTTTTTTAGACTTGAGGCATCCCTGGATAGACTCCTGATACCCTGGGAAAATGCCAGCTCTTAGTTTTCACTCATTTTACCACAGAAAAATCATAGACCCGGGGGGGGGGGGTCTATTGCAAAGAACTCGAAAGGACCACAA